TATAGCACGTGAGTTGTCCGTGCATATACTGATATTAATACTATAGCACGTGAGTTGTCCGTGATGATACTGATATTGATACTACAGCACGTGAGTTGTCCGTGCAGATATTGATATTGATACTTTAGCACGTGAGTTGTCCGTGCAGCACGTGAGTTGTCCATGCAGATTTTAGCGTTTGGGCTGTAGGAGCCCCTCCGGAGTCTATACACCCCCAGTGAGCGCAGTAGACTATAAATAAATGGATCGGGTTGTACGTTGCAATGACTACAATACAGTGCTGAGTGATTGAGAGTGCTGAGTATTGAGCATGGTAAAAGATAATGCGAGGCAGCGAGATTGAGTACTCTGAGAGTGTGAGTAGATGAGTTCATTACTGAGAGGCATTGCATTTGACATGCGTACTTGAGATATATGCATAGAGTTGCATTTCTTTTTTGCTGCCTGGTTTTGGTGACATTCATGATTTTGACAGATGTACTTTCCTCATGCTATCTGAAAATCAAATGTTTACTTGTTGAAAGGTTTTATGGAAAAATTCACAGTTTTCAGACTTACTTATATTTTGATAATTTCAGTGAAAAGAATTGACTTTTTCTGTTATACTTGAAAAGAAAAGGTTTATTTTTCCTGAACTGTGAACGAGCTGAGCATTTTATTATTAAATTATTCTTTGTGTTGCTTATAAATATTGTTGTGAAGTATTACTGGATATTGGTGTGGACTCTGGCCTTGGTACAAGCTCGTCACTACTTTCAACCTAAGTTTAGGTTTGTTACTTTTTGAGTACATGGGGTCGGTCGTACTCATATTACACTTCCTGCACATTGCGTGCAGATTTCGGATGTCAACATTGCTGTATTCGATGGGAGCTGACTTGGAAAATGTATCAGCGTCTTTATTGTAGCTGCCTCTTGTTCATGGTAGCCTTAGATTCATTAAACTCTGTTTATGTACTTTTCAAACAGAAGATGTAATTATTTCATATCAAGTTCGTAAATTCTACTCTTAGAAGCTCATGATTTGTACTACCAGTCCTTGGGAGATGTATAAAGGATTATTTATTTTTCTTCAGTAAGTTATATTTGTATCGGGTTGGAGGAATTGGCTTACCTAGCGGGATGAGTTAGGTGCCATCACGACTATTGGATTTTGGGTCGTGACAGCTACCTTGCTAAACTCCAATGACTCTGCCTCTGAGTGATCAACACCCGCTACTGGGTTCAAAAATACCTGAATCTGCACACAAGGTGTAGGGAGTAATGTGTGTACTCCAACTTAGTAAGTAATAAAAGTAAATAAAGTCTGAGCAATAATAAATCACGTAAACCACATCATGGAACCACAGAGGATACCGCATGTTTCCAAAAAAAAGGATACAAATCAAATCATTTCGCTAAACTTCTAACTTCAGTAAAAATCCTTTGGGACATATCTTTCTAACCTTTTCAATAGAGGTTTAATGAAATATATATAGTGAAAGTAATGAAAATCATAATCGGCCCCTCGGGCAAAACATAGTTCGTATACAGCGCCTCGGCAAAACAGAAATTCATAACCATTTCATAACTTAAAACTTTAGTTCAAATGAAATTTATTTAAAGCATTTGTTCAACATTTTCAATAGAGGCTCTATCTAAAAATGAGTGAATTAAATCAACATATTCAATAGAAACTCACTTTAAGGAGGAGTGAAACCAGGAAGTTCATAAACAGGCCCCTCAGGAAAAGCATCACTCATATACATATATATATAGTCCATCGGGCAAGCCTCTCAGTCACTCATGACTCAACTCTTATCACTCAACACTCACACTCAGCACTCACACTCAATAGGTACCATATAACAACCGTTGCGGCGTGCAGCCCGATCAGTAAATTGATGAGGCGTGCAACCCGATCCATATATATAGTTGACTACACTCACTGGGGGTGTGTAGACTCCGAAGGGGCTCCTACAGCCCAAGTGCTATATCGCTGTGGCGTGCAGCCCGATCCAACATATTGTTGCGGCATGCAGCCCGATCCATATATGTTACAGCATGTAGCCCGATCCATAAATGTATAATCCTCACAACCAGGCCCTCGGCCTCTCTCAGTCATTAACCTCACAATCAGACCCTCGGTCTATCTCAGTCATCACTATCAGGCCTTTGGCCTCTCTCAGCCATCAACCTCAGAAGTCACTCGGACTATCAGAAAAATAGGGCTTTCAGCTCAAATATCATTTATAGTGTCAAAATTTAGTAAATAAGGCCGAGTTACAAAATTACAAAAATGCAGCATGACTAAGTACAATTATTAAGTCAAAACAGTGAAGAAAGGTAGTGAAAGTCCCATAAGGGTCCAAAATAGTCGGCACGAGGCCCAAACATAGCATTTAGCCCAAAACATGATAATAACAATAGTTTTCAATCAAATATGCAGCTAAACAGTCATACGGGACGGATTAAGTCACAATCCCCAACGGTGAACGACCCCACGTTCGTCATCTAGCATGTGCGTCACCTCGAAATAACACAACAATGTGAAATCTAGGGTTTCAAACCCTCAGGACAACATTTACAATCATTACTTACCTCTATACGGTCCAAACTCTAGCCCGCAATGCCTTTGCCCCTCGAATCGGCCTCCAATTGCATCTAAATCTAACTAAAATTAGATTTATACCATCAAAATGTGCTAAGGGAACAAAGCCCACTCGAAAATATCCAATTTATATAAAAAATCCCGAAATTGGCCAAACCTGGCCCCAGGCCCACATCTCGAAATCCAATAAAAATTATATCAATAGAATCCTTACACTGTCACGAGCCTATACATACCAAGAACATCAAAATCGGACCTCAAATGGCCCCTCAAATCCCCAATTCAACTCTCCAATTTTTCTTCAAATTTTCATCCTAATTTCCCATATTAATGATAAAAATTAAGACAAAATCACTGTATTAAACCAAATTTGGGTGAAGAACACTTACCCAAATCTATTCTCTGAAAATCCCCTCCAAAATCGTCTTCTCCCGAGCTCCACAGCTCCAAAAGTGCAAAAATGGCTGAAATCCTCGAAATAGAGTATTTTATAAAGCTGCCCAGGCCTCCTCTTTCGCAAATGCGGGACGACCATCGCGTTCGCGATAAAGAAAAATATCGGCTCCCAAAATACTCTACATGTTCGCAACACAAGCCACGCGAACGCAATACCTACTGGGGACATAACTACGCGAACGCGACATCCAAAGCGCGAACGCGAAGAACACAGTATCACAACATCGCGAACGCGACACCCTAAGAGCAAATGCGAAGAAAGAATTGACCACCTCAGAGAACACCTTTCGCGAACGTGAGTCCCTGACCACGAACACGAAGAACAAATCGCCTACAACCAAAAACCAGCAAAAACTGCCAAGTCCAAAGTCCAAAATTGATCCGTTTACCAATCGAAACTCACCTGAGGCCCTCAAGACCTCAACCAAACATGCCAACATATCCCATATCTTCATTCAAACTAGTTCCAACATTTGGAACGCTCAAAACAACATCAAATTATCATCGGATCCAAGCCTAAGAATCCCAAAAACTTCTGAATTCCGAATTCGATCAAAAAGTCTATCACCTCGTCCGAATGAACTGAAATTTTGCATGCACATCACAAATGATACCATGGACCTACTCCAACTTACAGAATTCCATTCTGACTCCGATATCAAAATCTCACCTATCAACTGGAAAACGCCAAAATCCCAATTTCGCCAATTCAAGCCTAAACCTTCCACGGACCTCCAAAATATATTCCAATCACGCTACTAAGTCCCAAATCACCTAACGGAGCGAACAAAATCATAAAAACTCCAATCCAAGACCACATACTAACAAGTCAAAACTTGGTCAAACCTTTCAAATTTTTAGCTTCACACTGAGAACTGTTCTTTCAAATTCATTTCGACTGCCCTGAGAACCAAAACCAATGATTTACATAAGTCATAATACATTACACAGGGCTAGTCATGCCCGAGAACTGGCGAACAAAGTGCAAAAGCTCAAGACGACCGGTCGGGTCGTTACACTTCCTCACGTGTAACATTTTCATTTGCGACTTTATGTGATGCATCATGAGCAGCATGTTCTTCAGTATCAACAACTTGATCATCTGCACCTTGCTTGCTTCCAACATTCTCAGTTGATAACTATTTATCATTTCCATCTCCACTCAATCTATCAATACTAGGACGTTCCTCTTCAACTTGTTGTTAAACATGTTGATCGCATTCAAGAGCCACTTCCTCACGTGTAGCATTTTTATCTGCGACTTTATGCGATGCATTATGAGTAGTATTAATATCCGATAGATGTTTGAAAGAGTCATTCATCCTATCATATTGTCGCTAGTTCATCAAATCAAAATTGCCATCGTCCATTCCATTTGATTTGTCGACAATCTAAAACAACTTTTCAAACTTCTCATCAAAATATTCCTAGAAAAACGTTACTAACAATGATTAATATGAATAACATTAGTAGAAAAAAAAAGACTTCTCTATAAATTAGCTTACTTGACTTTTACAAAAACCGCATCCACAATAGTAGATTGCTCATCCCGTTTAAACTGATCGGCAACTTCTTTTGCGATCTTGCTTCTTTCTTTTTCTGCATGCCTTTGAACCTCCATCATTACCCTCTAGTATAGAGACACAGAAAAAAACTTTAGGTATAAAAGAATGCTAAAGTTAAGCAAATACAGAACACAACTTCAGCTATTATAATGCTGAAGTTCATCACAAACAGAACAAAACTTCAGCTAAAAAACATGCTGTAGTTTTACAAAAACACAACCAAAAAATTTCAACTCAAAACTTATAGAACATATTGTGTTGACTAATTCATTGTCAAACGCCGTTGTAGAACAATTAGAATGACTCTGGGTACGAGGTGATTCGCCAATAACAGGAGTTCGATTCGCTTCTTTTGATCGACTCCGACTATGTGGTAATTTACCAGTTGAAGGAACCGCATTAAGTACCTTTGAACGAATCTGGTTGCATGGTAATTGTCCAATTAATGGCATTTAATTGAATTCCTCTTCTGTAGGAATTATATCCAATACCCTAAACGTGCATTATCTCTGTTTAATACAAAAAAGTATATTATGAAAAAAAAAACTAATACATCAACATATTAACACAAAGACAAAAATAAAAAAAATTAACTTACAGCATGATTACTGAAGTAATCCTCATAAAGTTCGTTATATTTAGGCTCTCCCACACATACATAACGTAACATCCTGGGAACCTGAGGGGTATCAAGGTACTCATCCTCTCTTAAGTACTTTTCCCGAATATCCGAGAAGCGCTCATAGAACCAAGCACATAACGGATATGAAAATCCACCAACTTTATACTCAGTTAAATGAAATTTGTTTTGCTTGTCCAATGCATGTTTCAGTGAGGTAATGAGCTTCTCATAACACACATTACCCCAAGGATATTCAGCACAAGCCTTATCATCTTCAATAATAGCTGCATACTCCTCCAGGACAGATGATTCAGTCTTTTTTCCAAACAAAATAGACTCCACAACAAGAATTTCCATAAGCTTCACAGCATCTTCATCACTCTCGCATACGTGTTTGAAATTCACATCATTCTTTTGAATTTCATTCTGGGTCATAAAATCTCAAATATCCTTCAAGGTTGTACCATTAGACTTCCCAAAATAGCGCTTCAGAATATTGCTCTCTCGATTAATTGGTTTTTCAACATTATGTGTTGTGATCCGCAAACCGCACATAATGTGAAAGTCTTCAAGGGTGAAGGATACATCATGGCCAAAAATCTTGAAACTAATGGAGTCTCGATCATTGGTGAATATTCGAGAAAGACACAAATAATGAACCAACTTCATGCTGCATTTGAAATTCTCCATAGCCATAATATATCGAAATGTACCATTATTAAGCTTATCCTGTTGTGCAAGAGTCAAAAAACTTGTAATTAAACTCTTCAAATCGTGGTTCCCCTTCCAGTAACCATGACGGTTAAACCAATCTCCAAACTCATAATATTTATCCCCTGGTTTTATAGGTGGAGCAGCAGGGACTGAAGGACATGTGGTTATTATACGTTGTTTAGGTGCTTTAGGATCTTTAGGTGCATTAGCTGCTTTACGTGCTTTAGCTGCTTTAGGATCTTTAGGTGCATTAGCTGCTTTACGTGCTTTAGCTGCTTTAGGATCTTTAGGTGCTTTAGGATTTGTAGGTGATTTGGATTTTATAGATGCCATCTGTTCAAAAAAAGTAAAAGATACAAAAAATAACATCAGAACATTAGCAAAAAAATTAGTTAGAACTTCAGCTTCACCAGTTACTAAATAAAACCTTCAGCAAAAACATGATGTAGTTTTTACAAAACACAAATTCAACTCCAAAATAATGTTGAAGTTCATAAAAAATATAACATAAAACACGAAACAAAACTTCAGCTCCTAAAACTAAGGTATCATTGAAGTATTATAAACTTCACATTTTAATAGTATCATCTATTTAACTCTAAAAATTTCAACGTCTCCAAAAATCACTGAAAATTTTATAGAATTTTCATCAAAAATACAAACACGCGTTCAAAAAACCTAAAAATACAATCGTAAGAGTAAAACTAATCCACTTATCAAAGTAAACCCAAGGAAACTATTTTATCATAAATACATGATGTTATTGGGGAACAAACAGTTGAAAAATCAAAAACAACGACGATAACCATTTTATTTCAAAGAAGAATAAATCAAAAAACACGAATAACGGGAGAGAGAGACAGAGACAGTAAAGGACTAGCATATAACTGGAGAGAAAGAAATCTTTTAATAAAGAAGGGCAAAATAGTCTTTTTAAAAGGTTTTTAACAAAAAAATGGGTACGGGTGCAAACAGAAAAACAAAGCGGCTACAGGTTAAAAAGGGGAGACCAAATAGGGTGCCCCATGCAATTTTTACAAAAATGAACCATCAAATTTAAATATGGGGACGCGCTTCTGATTGCAATATCTAGACAAATACCTTAACCACTCACAGGGGTGGAGTTAGCCTTAAAGATACAGGTTCAGCCGAATCGAGTAACATTGATATAATTATGTATTTGTCTTAAGAAATTTATTTAATATATGTACGAATTATCAATTAGAACCTAATAAGTTAAAAGAGCAAGAATATGAAACGCATAAGCTTCAAATCGATTCCTTACTCTAATAGACTCAATCGAATATATTTTGGGATTGTGTACGGGTTAAATCAGGGGCAATGCCTGTCACACCTCTTTTTTCTGCCCCCGCGAGGGTACAAGGAGTTTTTTCCAATTAAAGGACAATCGAAACGAGATTGGTTTATTTATTTCAGAGTCACCACTTGGGAGATTTAGGGTGTTCCAAGTCACCAATTTTAATCCCGAATCGAGGAAAAAAATGACTCCATATTACAGTCTGCGTACCAGAAATACGGATAAGGAATTCTGTTAACCTGGGAGAAGGTGTTAGGCATTCCCAAGTTCCGTGGTTCTAGCACGGTCGCTCAACTGTTATATTCGGCTTGATTATCTGATTTTATACAAATATGAACTTATGTGCAAATTTTATCTTTTTACCGCTTTTATTATATTTTAAAGGAATGTGAACATCGTTTAAAACATGTCTTTGGATTGCGTCACATGAAATGCACCCGCGATTCGGAACATATTTTTATTCAATGTTTTAGGATTTGAATTTGGGTCGCATGAAATGCACACCCGAGTTTAAGAAGGTAAGATTATTAAAATACGCGCCTAAAGCGATTAGCGTATTATTATTTCTGGGTAAAGCCGTGGAACTTTGCTAAACGGCCGATCACGAGTTCTAAGTAATTAAAGCATACATTTTGCAATGATGACGATGGCACTTACAGGTCTAATAACTTCAAGATTCAACTCGTCGGGAGTGAGCAACATATCAGCACTGGGATTCCTGTAGAACATGAACTCACGCTCTCCGTCGGCGCGTAGGGTCACGAATGCCAACGCCGTTCTCGCACCCTTGTCGAAGTTGATCCCGTCGGCT